CCACCTTTATCCTTAGTTTGGCTCCCTCTAGTTTCAGTTACCCATGGTCACCCACAGTCTGAAAGCAGATGGTCCTCCTTCTGAAGAATTGTCAGAAAGAAGGTCAACAGTAGCCTAACACTTCGTCAAAATGCCTACATCATTTACCCCACTTATCAGGTAGGCATGTCATCATCTCACATCAACACGAGAAGGATGAGTGCAATCAACGAGGTATTTCAAAAGAGTGAGAGAGACTATATTCATAGAACTTTATTACAGCATATTGTTATAGTTGTTCTATTTCATTATTATTGTTATTAATCTACTACTGTGCTAATTTATAAATTAAACTTTATCCTAGGTATGTCTGTATAAGAAAAAAAAACAGTATACATAGAGTTTGGAACTATCTGTGGCTTCAGGCACTCACTGAGGATCTTGAAATGTATTTTCTGTGAATATGGGGAAACTATTGTATTGGCTTTAGAAACACAATGTTAAGTCAAATCCATATAGTCCCTGAGGGCTCAAAGACTTGTAAATAGTGGCTTTTGGTTTAGCTAAGGAGTCAGAGAAGTTTTCCCTGAGGTGGCGACCTTTGAGGTAGGATCTGAATGGTGGGCAGAAGTAAGTCCATGAAAAATGGGTACAAGATATGGTACCTGCCAAGGTTCTGACACATGAGGGAGCATAGGGAAAGTGCTCCAGTATCACAGGCAGGGGAGCAAGCATGAGAGGGGCTTCTGAAAACCAGGAAGGGCTGCCTCCTACAGTCCTACATGCAATGTGTGGTCACTGACAGCCGTGCAGTACCACACACAGATTGGAATCTCAAATGAAGCCCTCCAAGGGCCGAATCTATCTAGGTGGTGAGAATGGATGAAGGATGACCAGCGAGGAGGCCCCTCTAAGAAGTCCAGATAGGAGGCGGTGGTAGTTTGGCCTATGGCAGGGACAGTGTAGATGGAGAAAAATAGATTTTGGAGATAGCCAGAAACATCAGATCTTGGGTGACTGATCTAATCTTTTTGTACCTCAGTTTCTTCACCTACAAAAGAAAAATAAACATAAACCTACCTCATGAAGCTATTATGAGGTAATGAATTAACAAGCACAAGGCATTTAAACAAGTGTCGGCTTATAGTAATTCTGCTATTAATAATATTACTCGTATGTTCTTGAACAGAGTACCTAAATCAGCTGAGGAATTGACCCCCTCACTGACAAAATTAGAAGGCGTGACTATATAATTTCCAATACCTTTTCTGGTCCTAAATGGTTAATATTCTTAGCCATTATCCTTTGCTAGTCCAAGAGGACTATAAGCTCCTAAGTATGGTGTTCCCCAAGAGATCACTCAGTAAATGTTATGTATCTTCTGTAACCTATAGCACTACACCCACTCCTTTTCCAAAAAAAAAAAAAAAAACTGACAATGGGCACAAAAAGTGCCGTGAGTAATTTTGAGAAATATGAAACTGATTTTTTCTTTTTCTTTTTCTTTTTTTAAAGATTTTATTTCTAAAAAAAAAAAAAAGATTTTATTTCTATTTATTTTGAGGGAGAGCCAGAGAGCACGAGCAGGAGGGAGGGGCACAGGGAGAGGGAGAAGCAGACTCCTCTGCTGAGCAGGGAGCCTGATACAGGGCTCGATCCCAGGACCCTGATCTCATGACCTGAGCTGAAGGTAGATGCTCAGTCAACTGAGCCACCTAGGCGGCCTGAAACTGAGTTTTCAATCCTAAATACTTCGTATTTAGGATTAGCATAACTTGGCCTAGCATTCCTACCCATTACCCAGTGACTCTACCTTGCTGTTTCTGCCATGCTTAGAAAGTATTTCAGGAAGGAATCGACCTCGAGGAGCTTAATCCAAAGTCACAGCCAAAGTCTGCAGAATCACATCTTAAATGGCCGATTTGATTACTCAGGATAGAAGGAGGCCGTTGTAATCACTGAATCAGCGAGGACTTAAAAGCATTAACAGTGGGTCTGGCATCACACCAGGATTTATGGGCAGGTACAAGGAGGAGGGACCTTGTCTTCCAGGAGCTTCCAATTCACACAGGGAGGCAAGGGAGGGAATCCAGCAAACTGAAGACTAGTCCATAGAAGTTATGAATGATTTCTTAATTCAGACTGTAGAAGGACAAACAAGAATTCAGTGGAGGAGGAAATGGGCAATATTTAACAACAAAAAGAGCCAAGAACATTGGTATATAGTATCACACTGAGGTTTTTATATCAATGAGAAGTTTGCAACGTCTCAATCAAGAGGCTAACTTTTGCTTCTACCCACCTCTGGCACAGCTCACATCTTCAGCACAAACACAAACCAGGAGGAGCAAAACAGAACCATGCCAGAGCTTTCCATTAAACTGGGTGAACTTATCTGCAATAATAACTGCAAATATTCCATTTTTAGTAATTGGGGATTATCACTTCTGTAGCCCTAGCCACGTCATGGTCTTGAGGAAGGGGCACCCTCCCAAACCCTTGTTTATTGTAGGTAAAGACACCCTAACTTATTTGGGAGGGGGAAGAAGGAGGAATCTCCATACTTTTCAAATGAAATTACATGAAAACAAAGGAAAGAAACAAAAGCTGCTAAAGGTGAAAAAAAAAAATAGACCACAAATTCAGTTGTAAATGAGCTAAACATTGCAGGTAAATTTGAACTAATAAAACAGATGAATTTACTGAAAACTTAACACCTCTCAACACAGCTGTCTGCCCAGTCAGGAAACCATTAACATCTTGTCACCAATGCCCCAAGCACATCAATGATATGAATTCTAAAAACAACCCAGAACAACAAAAGAAATGCACCACCCAGTAGCCAATGGCACACAGGCTTTCTGTACTCCCCTTTCCTGGTGCCCCTCGAAACACTGAAAAACCGGCCGAAGCAGGAGGAAGGTGGGCTGGAGAGAAAAGGAGGAAAGCAATGCGGACAACTTTGAAGAGCAAGTGCAAGTACTTCAATCAACTTGAGACCATTTAAGAAACACCTTTTCAAAATTACAGTTGATTAACTGGCCTGGGTATATGTGTGAGGGGGCTGTCAAAAGTCAGGAAAGCATCCCTTTAATAATGACAAGTCATTATAGACAGTATTCTATTTTAATAAGAAAGAAACATCATTTTCTCAAATTGAAATACCAAAGCAGGGGTCTTTAATTACTTTTGGTCCAGAGGCTCCTTTGAGGATCTCATGAAAGCCAGAGACTTTCTCCTCAGAAAACTGCATGTGCTCACAAAATGTAGCATTTGATTTCTTTTCTTTTTTTTTTTTAAGCATTTGATTTCAACAGAATTTACTGACTCCCAACTCTGCCCACCATTGAACCCATCCCTATACGGGTTCCCCTTTGTCTTGTGGGCCCGGGTGTTAAAAGGGTGTTAAAAGCCCTGTGCGGAAGAAACATGCTTTAAGACCTTGGAACAAGAGTTTCAGGGTCTTCATATACCATCCAACAGAACAGGAGTTACAAAAATCATTTCATTTTCTCAACTGGGTGGTGGACAATAATATCCACTCAATTGCCCACCGATTCTTGATTATTTAGAAGCTGGTTTCTACCTCAGAGGCAATCCTGAACTTGTTTTTCCATTTGGTCCCTATTGTATGTACATGAGGCATCCATTGCTCAAAAAATACTTTGCCAAAGGAAAGCAGAAAAAAATAATTTTTTAAAGGTGAGAGGCCAAGGAGTCCGTTGTGCTCTTGGAAGCTCTGGTAATCGGTTTGTTCGTTCACTTGTTGTGTCAATACCAACTATGAGTCAGAAAGGTGGGAGGCAGCAGGTTGGAAAAAGAGGAAGTGTCTTCCCTTGAACGAGCTTACTGTCCAGGGCACTGAGAAGGGGAGTGTTAGACTGGGTGTACACCAGGACGCTGTGGGGACGTGGGGATGCTGGCAAGGAAGGGGTCTTTCTGCTTAGGGAGCAGAGGAGCTCAGCTGTAGGGATGCTAAGTAAACACTGCTCATGGAGAACTGCAGGGTGGGTGGAGGGAGCCAGGTATTCATGAGAGGAGGTCACAGCAGCACAAAAGAAAAAAAAAAAAGGAGAATTAACTGAGCAGTTAGATAGCAGTTGACTGATAGTGTCAAATGCTAATTTAAAATATTCCATAAAAGGTGTCACTAGAAAAGAAAAAAAAAATTGCAGGCAGAGTCAAATGACAGCTTGTGGGGCCCAATTCAAAATGGAAATGTGGGGCTCCCTGTTCAAAAAATATTAAGAATGTGCAGATGGGGACAGCAGGAACATTAAACCCAGGCCCTTCAGAGCAGAGGGGTCTATGTGGCCACACAGGTGACAACACACCCATGCATCTGGCCCTGTGTGTACTAGAAGACAATTTCAAGTGTCTACACCTCTTCTTTAATACTACAGACAAATAGGGACACCCGAGTGGCTTAGAGGTTGAACCTCTGTCCACCTTTGGCTCAGGGTGTGATCCTGGGGTCCTGGGGTCCTGGGATGGAGTCCTGCATCAGGCTCCCTGCATGGAGCCTGCTTCTCCCTCTGCTTGTGTCTCTGTCTCTCTCTGTGTGTCTCTCATGAATAAATAAATAAAATCTTAAAAAAAAATTACTACAAACAACCCGCATTTCTCAAAGGACCTGCCACGAAGCACTTAATACATGCTTCTAAGAAGCACCAGGCCGGGAGCTTTATTTCCACTTAATGTTTTTCCAGCAACCCTGTGACATAGATGTTACTACCCCCCACTTACAGATCCTGAAACCAAAGAGAGTAAACTGCTGGAGGGCAAGGTGGTGCTCGGGATGTTGAAGATCTCCCTCTGTGCCTGTGGCCCTGCCTCGGTGGTGACCCCTCAACGCGTGTTTGGATTTCTTTGCTATGGGGGGTTGGGCTTTGGCTGAGCCTCAATGGTCCAGAGTCCTGGAGTCAGGTGTGTGCTTTGGACATGAGTCAAAGATTGAAGCAGGAAGGGCCACCGATCCCCGTGCCGGTCACGCCACCCCACCGAGTCCCCCCAGCACCTACCTCTAGTAGGAATGGGAGCTGGATGTGGAGGGAGCAAAATGCCAGCACGCTCCGAACTGTCCTTTTTTTCAATACAGACACAGCTAGGAGGAGAAATCACATAATTTCCATGAGAAATTATGCATTAAAATAGCACATGCACGCTTACAAGAGCCCGGAATCTATTTTAAAAGAAGTTATTAAACCTTTAGAACCTATAGTAATTTCCGATTTCTCCCAGCAAACCTCCAATTAATAGTTTTTGGAGACAAAGGCTTGCCAGAGCATTCAGAGGTTCATCGGAGGGCTCTCCCCTCCCCGAACCCCATCCCCCCTCTACCAGTTTGCCAAGGGTGAAATTCAGCTTTTCCACTTTTTAGGAGAACAAGCACTGCCATGATCACAACACAACATTGACTCAACAGTAAAAAAACGAAGACTCTAAATATTTACCACCAAAACTCCTTGGGTTTTTATATCTTTTTTTTTTTTTTTTTTTTTTTTAGCCAATGTGAACAGGCCACCCCTCCCACACATGTGGGGCAAGGTGGGGGCTTTTGTAGAGTCTTTAGCCTCCGTCTTTGGTCTTACCAGGCCTCACACAAGCCCTGTTGTGGCTCGGAGCACTCTGTGATTAATAGCTCGGCCAGCCATTCCTACTTAAAAACTATTCCTACTTTATGTCTTTTTTTTTTTTCCCCACTCTGTCCCTGATTTTCTCTGATCCTTATTTTTCTGCTCAGCAGAAATCACCTACTGTCAAAGCCTTCTCTTCACCCCAAAGCCTCCTAACTATATTCCTTCCCCAGCGTTTTGTTTTGGGAAGCTTTCGTTAAGTTAATGATAGGCCCATTGCAATGAAGCAAGGCCAAAGCAGGGTCTACACCGGGTTATAATCTGTCAGCACCTGTCCCCCCCACACACACACCCCAAGCCCCATCCCAAATCCACACTGGTGAGTCAGGAGAGCACGAAAAGCCATTCAACCAACCCAACGGTACACCGCCTCGCAGCAGGCCAGCAGCGCTCTCCTTGTTCTTCTTGTACACTGGAAGTGCAAGTTGCATTTTCAAAATCATTCTGTCAGCCCCATGACAATTTAATTTATTTATTTTTTTAGCCAGTTTCTCAACTCTGTTTGGGTAGCAATGGCTCGTCAATATCTCATTCAGGTGTAGCATGGAAAAGCCTAACAACCCTGGGCCCGCAGCCAAGCTTACCAGTGACTGACGCTCGCTTAACTGAGCAAAGATTTGCTCTGCTCCAAGTGGGGCTTGACTACACAAGAACCAGTAGTGACAGCGAGGGCGCCGGCTGGAATCCTAACAAAGCTGCTTCCAACTTGTGCTCAAGCAAGTGGAACCAGCACTTAAGCTGAATGTTAAGGGGCTTCAATCTTGGTCCTTTTTTTTTTTTTTTTTTTCTTCTTCCCCATCATTTACCTTCTGAATAAACCCTGGGATTTTACGGGGAAAACAACACATTAGCACACTTACATCACAAATCCTTGTACCTCTTTAAAAGGCTGTTGAAGATTTATTAACTTGTAGGAGCAATCATTTAATTGCTCGCCTCTGCTACACCACATACTATTTTTTTTTTTTTAAATGACCGAATTAAACCTGCCGAGCAAATTTGGGCTTTGAAGTTCCTGCAGAAGGATCATCCCTTTGAGGGAAGGAGAAAAAGAAGACATGAAATGCTCCCCTTTGGTACCAATGTCCGCATGCCCCCACCTTCCCCGCCCGAGATGCCTTCGTACACAGAAGCAAATCAATCTCGTTTAAACGTTTCCAATTCATTTTCCAAGCCAGGTCCAAATCTCACCGTCGTTTTTCCCTCTAATTTCAATGAAAGCCCATAAGCATTTACAAATGGAGGAACATCATACTTACAATTTTGGGATGTGTAATGCGGCTGTGTATCTTAGGAAAACACTGTTATGTTTATATGTTGCTGTCCTTCCTGTTCAAAGACCACACCACTCTTGGTGAAGCTGAAGAAACTAGTGAGAGACCCAAAGTCCTTTCCACACCACGAACCTGTGCAAACCATTCTTTGAATCGAGCTGCAGTGGCAATTAGCAGAGCCTCTTGCTGTCTGGGACTCTGCCTCTTAGGTCAAATGCAGCCCAAAGCCAACAAGATAATTTACCGCCTAACCACAGTGAATTTGGTGATTTGCAACCGCAGAATCAAATATTTAGACTAATTCCCACTTCACACATAAAAACAGTAGGGACAGGAAGAGGCACGCGCGCACACACACACACACACACGCCCGCCGATTTGCACGTTCGTCTTAGTTAGCCTGCAATAATCCGAAGTGGTGTGTGGGTAACTAGACAGCGTCTGAGGGGCAGAGGCAGTGCATCTGGTTTTTTTAAGCCCTGGACAGCCTTTTGCTTGGGAAGGAGCCCTGTTCCATTGCATCAGCCGTCCAGTAACGCGATCTCACCAACCTATGTGTGAGCATCAGGAGGCCGTGCCTGGGGTCACAAGGGGCATTCTCTTCCTAGCCAACTGAGACTGACATGTGCTGCTGTCATAAGGATCACACCGTCCAGTTTGGCCCAACTGGTGGTCTCGGGAATGAACAGAGGTACGGCCTGTCAAACTGCAAGGCGTTGGTTGGCAGGGCTCAAGTGTCAGATTTCCCCCAAATGACAGTTCCCTGCATCTCAGTGCGTTAAAACACTGTGTTATGTCACTGGGACCCAGAAAAATTAAAAAAAAAAAAAAAAAGCCTTTTTTATTTTTATTTTATTTTATTTTATTTTTTATTTTATTTATTTTTTTGTTTTTTTAATAGATTAATTATTGGTGTTCAATTTACCAACATACAGAATAACACCCAGTGCTCATCCCGTCAAGTGTCCCCCTCAGTGCCCGTCACCCATTCACCCCCACCCCCCGCCCTCCTCCCCCTCCACCACCCCCAGTTCATTTCCCAGAGTTAGGAGTCTTTATGTTCTGTCTCCCTTTCTGATATTTCCCACACATTTCCTCTCCCTTCCCTTATATTCCCTTTCACTATTATTCATATTCCCCAAATGAATAAGAACATACACTGTTTGTCCTTCTCCGATTGACTTATTTTATTTTATTTTATTTTATTTTTATTTTATTTTAATTTTCCTGGGTCCTTTTGGTATTTTGTTTTCTTTCGGCTTTGTTTGTTTAGCTTCGGTCTGTTTTTAAAGGCATTTATGCCCAGAGTACTACAAAGGGATGTTAGTGGGGCCTCCCTGGCAGGGACATAAAAGTGTATGGGTTTTGAAGGAGAGGAACTGCAAGGCTGTTATAACTTCCCTCAAACCCCAAACCTGGTTAGCTGGGAAACAGTTCTTTAGAGTCGTCCTTTCTTTCCTCGGTGGGACTTGGAACCTGGATGCTATAATTGAAAGCCAGTGTATTAAGCATAACACATCAAACTACTGTTAACACCCTGCCTCCCGCAAGGCTGCCTCCTATAACAGCTCTGTTTTCTGCCTACGGTCTGTGCAGGCAAGTGGAACATCACACGCGCTGCATGCTAAAGGCCGCAGCCTTTGTCTTCTCCAAGTTCTGTCTATTTCAGAGGCTAACATGGAGCAATTAGTCTAATTAATGTGAAACAATGAGCTGTGTTACCACTTATCAAATTGATTGTTCCCCTATCAAAACAAAACAGGCTGGCTTTTTGATGTAATTTCAAGAGATGATTTGAAATGTCATGTTGCTGCAAGCCAATTACCTTATGACTAGCGTCCCGGTCAACAGAATACATAATTAGCATCAGTTTGGGAAGGCTGCTTACTGCTAGTATGTTAATTAACTGTCTTTTGTCATAAAACAAAAAGGTGGTACGGGGAGGTTTTGAAATGGGTCTTTTTTATTTACATTTCTTTGTGCTTATCAACGTGAGGCATGACAATGCAAAAGAATAGACAATTTTAATTCCTCTACTTCGAATTAATACTCAGCTGCAAGGTCAGGCGTGCTGTGCAGGCTGCAGTACCATTCACCTCACCACCTCACTCTAGTCCTGCCCCAGTGTATTATATTACTCGAGGAGTTAAATTAAGTATCGGGTAAAACTCGAATGGAAGAAACCCTGAGCTCCACGAAACAAATCCCCTAATAGGCTTCTTTGGAGCTTCCCTGGCTTTTGTGCATCTTGTGAGGGCTGGACGGCGCTTGCCTGCCCCGGGAATTACATTCAGGCGTCGTCTTTCTATTTCAATCTTGAAATTTGGAGAGAATAAACCCATCATCAAATGATGTTATTGCCTTTACCTCACTATGGTAGAGAGAGAATGCATAATGGGCACCTGTGGGCCTGTAAAGGAATCCTATCTGTGAGTCCAGGGCTCTGTAACTCGTCTGCAGCTTCCCCTCTTATGCGATAACCTGGCAATTCCACCTTCTTGATTAAGGAACCAATTCTGTATTTCTGTCTTCTTCAGGTTGAAGGCATGCTGGAGGTACCCATAATCAGTTACTGACAATTAGCAATCAAGTTCATGGTGGCCTTGAGTCAGGGCTCGACATGCATATTAGTAAACAAGCTTCTGGTTTAGAGAACCAGTCGAAGGTTCCAAGATTCTAGTGCTTCTATTCACTGCCCAATGGTATTGTTTTACCTGGCAAAGGTAAGGGAGCCGCTCCTGGACATCCCACAACTTACTGTGAGAAATGGGTTGTTGCTTTTGTGTTAGGGTTCAACACTCCTCAAACATTTTTCTTGAGATATGGTCCGTGTCTTGTAGTCATATTAGACTGGTCCTCAAGAGTCACAGGAAAACACAATACCCTGCTCCTAGAAATAGTTTAGTTTGCAAACTGGATTTTCCATCCTGACTTGTTTCCATTATTCAACATAGTTTTTTTATTATTATTATTACAAATACTTAAAAAAAGGGAGAAATTGAAGAAGATACAAATAAATGGAAAGATACTCTGTGCTCATGGATTGGGAGAATTAATATTGTTAAAACATTCAGACTACCCAAAGCCATCTACAGACACATGCAATCCCTATCAAAATACCAATTACATTTTTCACAGAACTAGAACAAATAATCCTAAAATTTATATGGAACCCCAAAAGACCCCAAACACCT